GTTTATTCTAGATGTGGAGAATGTCATTTTCTTTGAAATGTTCATTTAGACAAAGAAAAATGTTATTTTTTAGATATCAGGAATACATATCCAGTAAAACTAGTATATATGAAAACAGCTTGCCATGTTTGTTTTTACTGTGAAAATATTATGAGATTATTTCTTGAACGGTCGTAGATCAGTGGATCTATTTAGGTGAAATATTCTGTCAGCAGGTGAAGATGAAGAATAAAAACATTGTTCTAATAAATAGAACCTGTTCATCATCTCATGGGTTCCTCCTCATGTTGATTCATTCTTTAACTCAGTGGCTGTTTGCAGCTGTTCTCCAGATGTTATCATCCCAATAAATGATGTTATTAGCAGCTATCAGGCCCATAGAACGGCTTCAGGTTGTTATCATCCAGTCAATCCTAATCCTAAAGTAATTCCTTTTCCTCCAGGGATTTAGCTGTGGGAGGATGTTACTATGGCAACAGATGATGAGGAAACTGTCTTTGTCAAACGGAAAACTCAGAGTTTGCCTAATTTCAGGTTTAGAAAACTTTACGTTTTTAATAAACCTGCTGCATGAAACGGACCCCTGGTATGGAGCAGACTGGCTGCGCAGTAAATCAATGCTAAATCACCATGGTAACCGATGTTACTGCTTGGGTTAAACCGAGCCAAGGCTTCGTTAAACCAGGATCTCCTGGTTTAATCCCTGATGGTGGCTTTGTTTAGTAGAAGGTGTAGATGTGTTTGCTTGTTGTCAGCAGAGCAGCTGCTGCTGAAGGGCTGCAGGTTTCCTTCTATCAACAGGAAGTTTCCCTTTATGCTCCAAACGGCGGTTCAATGCGCAGCTGTCACTGCTTGCTAACTCAGAAATGGCGGCTGTTAAAAGACTCTTTGCAGCAAACTGGTGTTTCTTGGCTGTTTTTTGAAGAATGTAAATGATTAAACTTATTTTTTTTGTTTTCTAACTAGGATCTAATTTTAAATGTGATTTAATTTGGGCAGCGGCGCTCACTGGGAACTCTGGTTCCCTCCCTCAGTGGTGGAACGGTATGTGTCTGTGTGTCCCTGATGGAGCAGTTCAATCTCCAGCCTCTGCTAGTCCTTGAAATACCTTGGAATAATCTGCCAGGTTTCCATGGATGGTCTGTGAGTCATACTCCTGGATGGTCCAGGAAGGCCTAAACTCCTCGCTGTCCACCATGTCCCTGTCTTTCATCTCCAAATAAAGAGGATTGGTCTTGATGTTAGACTTCAGAGTAACTGGTGTGATGTGCTTCTCCAGATATCTGTCCACAAACGCCACGGATCGGCCCTCTGTGAACCTCTGGCTTCCAGGCTGAGCCGTCTGTTCCCTCTGTCAAAAAACAACATGGAGTCAATTTAATCAGATCCAGCAGAAAACAACTAATCAGGTTTAGTTTCTATGTTTCTAAGGCAGCTTCAGGATCAGTCTCCTTCCCAGGATTCAACACCGTCCCTCAGTAGGTAAGGATCCGAGCGAAGGATCCATCAGGCGGCAGTTATTAACCTCTGCAGAGGATCCTAATCTATAAAACCATCCGCTGCTACGCCTCCTGCTTGCATACGAGGGTTCAGCTCCCGTTCTGTTCTCTATATTTCATTATGCTGATATGAAGCTAAATGAACCAGCTGATTAACTCTAGTGCATGGTTACCAACGGCAACAACAGAGAAGAGAACAAAGAGAGGGGCTGGGTGTCACAACGTCTCATTAGTCTATAGATGTTTGATAAACCAGGCACTGCGCTCGAACCCTGACTGACAGGAGAGCTCACCCTAAGTTAGTGGCAGACATTCACATTAAATTGAATGTTTTCTATTTCCTGCATCAATGAAAACCTTCAAATCTGCATTTATAGCATCTGATACCTTCAGAACTTCTGCATTGTTCTTCTCTCACTGACAGCAGCAGATTCATGACTCACTGGAAGCACATCATCCAAAGTTTAAGTCAAGAATCTGACTCACTGGAGGGGGGGGGGGGTTAATAATTAGAGATTTATTAGTTAAAGATATTACTTATTGAGATGCACTGAAGCACTGCAGCCTGACCAATCAGGGAGCAGCAGTCAGGATGAGCCCAACAGTTCGGCCTTCATCATCTGACTGGATTATGCAGCTAACGTCTCTATTGATTGGATTGCAGAGTTGAATGATCTCTATGGAGAAAGTTATCGGCTGCAAACCTGATTGTCTTCAGGAACTGTACACCTCCAGGACTTTAAGGCCCCAAACTGTTTCTGACTCTCTGCTCTGGCTGCAGGCTGCAGTCCAAGGAAGCAGATGATGGACAGCAGTGATCGTCCTCTTCACCTGACTGTTAGACACCAACACAGGGTCTTCAGTCAGAGGCTTCTTCAGATCCACTGCAGACAGACCTCTACAGGAGATCCTTCCAGCCTGCAACAGCTGGTTAAAGTATTATTTATGAGTTATGACTTTTGACAACATTTAATTTCCCTTTTGGTTTAATAAAGTATATTTGAATTGAACTGCATTGCAGCAGAATGATGAAAAAGGGGTCCCTATGTCCTCCAGCAGTCTAAGCCTATAGCAGCAGAACTATAGAGATAGATCAGGATAACCTGAGCCACTCTAACTAGAAGCTTTATCAAAAAGGAAAGTTTTAAGCCTAGCCTTAAAAGTAGACAGGGTGTCTGCCTCACGGACTAAAACTGGTAGTTGGTTCCACAGGAGAGGAGCCTGAGAACTAAAAGATCTGCCTCCCATTCTACTTTTAGAAATTCTAGGAACCACTAGTAAACCTGCAGATTGAGAGCGAAGTGCTCTGTTAGGAACATCAGGAACAATCATAGAAAATCCTGCAGTCTGGATGCAATCAGCTGCTTTTCCTCAGATAGAAACTTTTAACCTGACTGGATGATCTGATTGATCTGGATCTATAAGGAAACCTGAGATATAATTAGTTGTGAAAAGGAACTGAAATGAACTGGACCGAGTTGCTGCTGAATTGAGGAAGAATTTATGCTCAATGTCTTAAATCTATTTATTTTTTCCAGAGAATTAATAGTTTGCTGTGATGCAGCCAATCAGAACGCTCTAGAGAAGAAGCTTTATCGTGTTTAACTCTTGGAATCAAAGCCAGGTCCTCTGACCACTGGTCCATCGGTAGGTCACTATTACTAAACTCACTCTGACTACATTCCAGCCACTTATGGGAAAAATGTCTAAGCCCATATTTATGAGTTATGGAGTTACTGGAAATAAAAACTGTGACCTGGTTACTTTCATCGTATCGGTTAATTTCTCAGACTCAGTTTCTTAGAACCGCTCAAAAAATTAAATGATCACCATGAAATTTACTTTAGACTCTTTTTCAGGACTTAATTGTTATGAAAAGTGTTTTTTTATTTAGATGATGAATCTTAATTCTCATTATTACCAGAAATCAGTTTATTTATTTTAAATCTATTTAAAGTTAAACCTTTGAGAATTTAGCTGAACCTCAGTTCATTTCTCGACTTAATCTGTGATGATAACAAAGAAAGGAGACGCAGGTTAGTCTGCTTTAAAATGCCTGCAGCTAGCCTGGGGTCAAAGGTCAACGTTGATCCGTACCTGCCAATAGACCCTGTTCTGCCACCGTCTCTGACTGGAAACGATGGCTCCGACCTGGGACAGGCCGCGCCTGGCATCCAACATCCCAACATCCAGCTGCAGCAACCTCTCTGGGTGATTGCTGTTGGGCAGAACAGAAATATCCATCTGAGCTCTGCTGCTGCTCTGACTGCTAACAGCCTCCCAGCAGCTGCTCCGCCTGCTCAGTATTTATGAAGCAGGGTATTTATGACGCTGTATCACTTGCAGCTGGCGGTAACCTGACCTCAGCACTGAACCTGATAGAACGGAGCCGTTCTGTGCAGAGAGGGGAGGCAGGGTCCACAGCATGGCGTCAGGTGACATCACGCCTGCCGCTGCCTGAGGAAAGGTTAGCTGCAGCTGATTCTTCATGACAAACAGGATAACATCACTGGTGTTTGTTGAAGATGGTGATGCCCGTCTCTGAGCTCCGCCTTGGATCAGGGTCGTATTAATTACCCATCAGCCTTTGGTTTACAGCGTCCTGCAGGAATGAAGCAACAGGCCAAAGGAAACAGACGGCAGCAAATCTTTGGCAAACGCCAGAATCTCAGGCACTGAAAAGCTTTTCTTCATTCATTGGCATTAAATCGTGTTTTATCTTTACTGTATAAACTGAACACTGATGATGTGAACGATGAGCATTAAGGTTGGACTCAGACTGCAGGTCAGAGAGACTAGTTCCTCCCAAAGACCTAATCTGAGCAGAGTGTCTGCAGCTCAATGATCTGATCTTTATATTGGAGAAACCAAACAACCTCTCCACAGACGCATGGCCCAACACAGAAGAGCGCCCTCCTCTGGACAAGACTCTGCGGTCCAGCTAAAACTTAAGGACAAAGGACACTAGTTTGAGAACCAGAATGCTTGCGATTTAAATAAAGAATACTTGTGGTT